GAAGATCACTGTGCAACCCTCAGAAGGCAAAAGTTTTACTATGAAATCCTTAGATATCATTTTCCATGGTCTATCAGGAACTGGCAAGGGTTTGAGTAAACCCCAAGCTCTGCTTCTTGCAGTCTTACTCCGACGGGTACAGATAGTACATGAGTTCACATATTCCTCCAGATCTGGCCACCAGAATGTACATCACTTATGAACACCAAAGTAGCCTGCCAGGGGATGATCATGAAGAAGCCTTAAGACAGTCACCCGGACACTTTCTAGCATGAAGATTTTATCCTCCTGCGACAGCAATCATTCTTTAGAAACCAGTGTAGTTTGAGGAGGGCAAGAGACAGCCACAGAGGCTTGCTCAATCTGTAAAAGAAGATCAGTTTGTAATAACAAAAAGTTACCTGTGGGTAGGATGGTATCTGGCATGGATGGTTCCTTAGGGTCATCATACATACGAGACAGTGCATCTGGTTTAGTATTTTTAGATCTGGGTTGGTAGGTAATTTGGAATCTGAATCTCGAGAACTTGGCATGCCCATTGAGCTTGGCATGGCTTCAGACGCTTGGCTGATCTTAAATACAGGTGCCTCCATTCTTCCAGGGTAGCTTTAATGACAATCATATCTCCCATATTACAATTCCTCTCTGCTGGAGAAAGTTTATGTGAAAAGAAGGCCACGGGATGCATTAAGTCCTTGAGACCCTGGCGATACAAAACCATTGCCCCTACTGCGATTTCTAATGCATCTACAGTGGATATAAAAAGTCTACACACCCCTGTTAAAATGTCAGGTTTCTGTGATGTAAAAAAATGAGACAAAGATAAATCATTCCATTAACTTTTTCCACCTTTTATGTAACCCATAAACTGTACAACTCAGTTGAACAACAAACTGAAATCTTTTAGGTGGAGGGAAGTTAAACTAAAAAAATAAAATAATATGGTTGCATAAGTGTGCACACCCTTAAACTAATACTTTGTTGAAGCACCTTTTGATATTATTACAGCACTCAGTCTTTTTGGGTATGAGTCTATCAGCATGGCACATCTTGACTTGGCAATATTTGCCCACTCTTCCTTGCAAAAACACCGCAAGTCTGTCAGATTGCGAGGGCATCTCCTGTGTACATCCCTCTTCAGATCACCCCACAGATTTTTGACCGGATTCAGGTCTTGACTCTGGCTGGGCCATTCCAAAACTTGAATCTTCTTCTGGTGAAGCCATTCCTTTGTTGATTTAGATGTATGCTTTGGGTCGTTGCCATGTTCAGAATTCCCTCTACCTTAACTAAGGCCCCAGTTCCACCTAAAGAAAGACAGCCCCAAGGAATGATGCTGCCACCACCATGCTTCACTGTGGGTATGGTGTTCTTTTGGTGATGTGCAGTGTTGTTTTTGCACCAAACATATCTTTTGGAATTATGGCTAAAAAGTTCAACCTTCATCAGACCAGAACACATTTTCCCACATGCTTTTGGGAGACTTCAGATGCGTTTTTGCAACATTTAGCCGGGCTTGGATATTGTTTTTCGTAAGAAAAGGCTTCCATCTTGCCACTATACCCCATAGCCCAGGCATGAAGAATACAGGAGATTGTTGTCACATGACATGCCACACAGCCAGTACTTGCCAGATACTCCTGCAGCTCCTTTAATGTGCTGTAGGCCTCTTGGCAGCCTCCCAGACCAGTTTTCTTCTCATCTTTTGATCAATTTTGGAGGGACGTCTAGTGTTCGGTAATGTCACTGTCAGGAATGGACTTGCCAGTAATGGTGGGACTCACCTGCCTTGTGGGCTGCAGTACCAGGGCTGGCCAGCGGGTGCTCTCAGCAATCAGAGACTCAACCCTGCAGCCAGCCAAACACCTGAAGCTGATTATGCAGGTGTATTTAAGGGATGGCCAGACCTGCAGTCTGGGCCTTGGTGTGTGTTTTTCCTGGGCCCCTGTATCTTGTTACCTGCATCCCTGTTCCTGTTCCTTTTCCTGTTCCCTGTCCCTGTCCCTGTCCCTGTCTGACTGATTCGTTGCTGACCCTGCCTGATCCGGACCTCTGCTGACTTCTCCTGTTTGATCCCTGGCCTGTGACCCCGACTATTCTCTGCCTGACCCCCTGTACCTACCTGCCCGTTAGTTGCTGTACCTGGCTCGTGACCTTACTACTCTCTGCCTGCTCCTCCTGTTCCTACCTGCCCGATTGCTATTGACCCGGCCTGCCTGACGACGCTTGCTTTGTATGTATTGTTATCTGTGGGTGGTTTGGTTTGGTTCGTTTGCACTGTGTTATGTTTTAGTATTGCACTGCGTTTATGTATTATTAGTGTTAATAAATTATATTGTTATAACATATCTGAAGCCTGCGTTTGCCTGCGTCAGTTCACATACCTCTGGTCACACCCTGGAGCCCTGACAGTCACTGTTGCGCCATATTTTCTCCACTTGATGATGGCTGTCTTCACTGTGTTCTATGGTATATCTAATACCTTGGAAATTCTTTTGGACTGATACCTTTTAACAATGAGATCCCTCTGATGCTTTGGAAGCTCTCTGCAGACCATGGCTTTTGCTTTAGGATGTGAGAAAGAAAATGTTAGGAAAGACCTACTAGAACAGCTGAACTTTATTTGGGGTCAATCAGAGGCACTTTAAATGATGGCAGGTGTGTACTGACTCCTATTTAACATGATTTTGAATGTGATTGCTTAATTCTGATTTTTTTATGTTTACTTCTTATGTTTACTATTACTTATCAGCCTTACAGACATTCACTGCATACCGTTTTAAAGAGACAATAGCAAGTGTACCACTTTACAGACAGGTCCCAACATTAGCCAGATTAAATTTGCTAATCAGGAGCCAGGTACTTTGCAAGTACTCACTCCCTGTTGACTAGTTATTGCTGAGAGTTACAGTGAGACTTTCTTTGTGCCATTTATGCTCTTCATGGTTTATACTGCTCATGTCAATGCTGTATATGCTAGTTTAATTTGGTTTAGCCTTATTGGGGTTTACGTTAATTGCCATAGCTGAGACTAGTATTCCCATCGAATTTAAATGTACTGTATTAATTGACATGTTTATTGTTATGTGCATTGTATTTAGCTTGCCCTGCAATAATACACTTAGTTTATCTACCATCAAGCAGCTTGTGGCCTATTACCTGTGTGCTAATATAGTGTGTTAGCTTACTAATATTTAAGTTTTACAGGTGTATGGTTCCTTCAAATAATATAACTAGGTGTGTCAGAGGGGATGGAAGGCATGGCAGAACAGAGAATTAATCATACCAAGTGGCTCCTGTAGGGGTAAGCACTACATAAATATTGTCTTTAAATGGAACATACTTATTTTCTCTCTTTATTCTTGTCTGGACTAGAAAATGTCATTTATATTGTTTTAGTCAGGTTCATATAAAATATTGCATATTACATTTTGTATTTTCTATCTGCAGTAATAAGTTGAGTTTTAGTCTCTATCACTAATTTACATCTAGTTCTTTCACCTTTTGTTGAAAAATGCCTGTCGTTTGCAATTCTTAATAGCTAAAACTAAATGTACAAACGATTGACTCAACACACTAGTTCACCACTTATCATAGACAGTAGCTCTGTCTAACGTGTCAGTCAGACAAACTGCCTCAAACCAGGCAGTGTCTGTTGTGCTGTCTCTTTAGCTAACCTATAGTGCTCTGGGAATCCTTTGTTGTAAAGCCTAAAATGGAGGCTTTTGTATAGGCCCACATATCAGTTAACATTAAATGACACATCCCACTTGACTGCTTTCTCAGCATTCAAAAGACACTGGCAGCATCTCCATTGAAAAAATAAATAAATAAATAACTTTGCCTTTCTGACCTCAATACACATTCAAATCACACTGTTCAGCTCAAACAATCATAAGCTTTTTAATTACAAAGCTGCCAACACACACTCTCTCTAAGTCTCTCCGCAGGTTTCTTCCTTAAGTATTGAGAAACAGTTTGTGAAGTCAGTTGCTTCCTCTGTAAAAGGACAACCACAGTAATAGCATAATCAAGCCTCATTAAGCCAGCTTCTCAGGAACAAATAACACCCTTATAATGATTGAACTGACGTTTCTAGTGCTTCTCTTACAATATACTGTTTAAAACAACCATTTTTAAACTTACAAACTTAAATACAAAGCAACCAAAAAAAAAGACCCTCAGCTATACTCTCAGCAGGGCTAGCTGACCCATGCCAGTGAGGTGTCTAGTCTTTTGCTTGAACATACTACTGGCCAAAAAATACTAAACTGCAAGCAATTTTCACAGGATAGGCAATTTTTATCTTCTGCATCTACAAACCTAAATCTTCCATGATGAGATCACATACAGTAGCTCCTGGATTGCAGAACAGTTTTTCTACAAAGTTGTGTTTCCCCTCCTCTGCTCATTCTATCTCAGATATCACTATAGACACCACATATTTTCTTTCTGTATATACAGTATATGTATACTGTATATACATATATTAATATATATATATAGCGCTACTCCCATAGGAGGTGCAGGAATACTGCCCAGGCCATCCCCAAAAGCTTTGCCCCACAGCCAGTCACATAGGCTCATTTGCATGTTTCTTCAATGACCAGTCTAGGGGTGTTGTTTTTGTTGATTGATGAGAACTTGGATAGGGATGGGGAGCTAGAAGGGATACTCCAAAATAGAGGAACTGTATACAGTTGAGGACTTTAACCACTTGCCCTCCATAGGATTTACCCCCCTTCCTGATGAGACCATTTTTTGCAATAAGGCGCTGTGTTACTTTAACTGACAATTGTGTGGTATCTGATCGCCTGTGTGTTTTTTATTTTTTTTGTGCTATAGACAAAAAAAGACCGACAATTTTGAAAAAAACTATATTTTTGATTTTTTGCTATTAAACATGTAGAGTAAAAAACTTTAAAAAATCAAATTTTGTCATAAAGTTAGGCCAAAATGTATTCAGCTACATGTCTTTTGCTAAAAAATACCAATACGTGTATATTAATTGATTTACATGAAAGTTATAGCATTTACAACTGGCTGTATATATACTGGGAAATGTTTTTTTTTTCACTAGTAATGGAAGCAATCAGCGACTTATAGCGGGACTGTGGCAGGCATTCTGACATTGGGGGGAGCTAACTTGGTGTCACTGACATCCCCAGTGACACCAATACAGTGATCAGTGCTAATTAAAAGCACTGATACTGTACTAATGGCACTGGGCAGGAAGGGGTTAACATGTGGGGCAATCAAAGGGTTAATTGTGTGCTGTGTGCTGTTTTACTATGTGAGCTGTGTGTGTGTTTCACTGTAAGCACATTGCTTTGTATGGCTCTGCTATGCAGAACCATACAAAGCAGTGTGCAGGAGCTCACAGAGGCGAGATCTGTACTGTTTACATACAGGTCTCTCCCCTGTCGGAAATCCTCGGAGATCACTGGGTGCCTATGGGGAATCACTGGCCAGGACCCCGTGATTGACAGGCAAGGCCGTGAATGGTGGCGCGGGTAAGGTGGCAGCGAGGCTCGCGCACATCCCCTAACAAATGATGTTGGCTCTTTACTGTGTGATCAGCTGTGTTTAATCAAATTTGAGATATAAATTGGTATCCAAAGATTAAATCTAAAATAAACTGTGATATAAATAAACACGTTGTGTATTGACACTTAAAAGTCCCACTTCCACCCTTGAAAGTCCAAAATTGTAAAAATTAAACCTTTCTAGTGTCAGTGAAAATATTTAAAAAACTCCAAAAATTCAAAAATGATTAATCCAAGTTCTGATTCATAATCACTGTGTAACTCCAAGAATGCCGTGTACCTCCAAGAGAAAAAAACTGGATAGTGTATTATCCTCAATAAAAAATGTGTCCAATCAAAGCTGAGCATATGCAAAAATGTAGCGAGCGCTCATACAGGCAGCAGCTATGACACTAAAGGAATCACATAATCCTCGTATCATAATAATAAATAAAATAACAGTGCAGCGCTATCAATCGTGATACAGTTAATCAATAATAGAAATTCATATGGTATATCTCAAAACCAGCGTCAATGATAGGTCAACAAGTGAAAAGATGTAAAAGTTCATATAATACATCTACTGTGCGGCACCAGAAAAAACTTCCTCTGCTGTAATACGTATGGCTGGTAAAAATAGCAGAAATGCGCACTCACCGACCGCGCATTGGGAATGCGCATATGAATAATCATCAATTGAGGTGGATGACACCGGATGGATAGCAGGACCCCCTCTAGGATATGGATCATCCAACTTGGGTGAAGTGATATGCAGCAGGGCTCAGAGGTCTCCTTAATGCCGGATGAACAGCCTGGATGGATGGATTTATCCTCTGGATACAGGTGCTGCTGTGGATCTGTGACCCTCAATATAGAGGGTTAAAACAAAGAGGGAATGCCCATAGTGTAGTAGGTAACGCTTTATTCCAGGAAAAATTGGTAGAATGGGTATAAGTACAGGTGTATTTCAAATATAAATAGACATGGATAGTGTATTGACCCTAGAGTAAAATGGCTGCCGGACCTCCTCGTGGACCCAAGTTGGATGATCCATATCCTAGAGGGGGTCCTGCTATCCATCCGGTGTCATCCACCTCAATTGATGATTATTCATATGCGCGTTCCCAATGCGCGGTCAGTGAGTGCGCATTTCCTCTATTTTTACCAGCCATACGTATTACAGCAGAGGAAGTTTTTTCTGGTGCCGCACAGTAGATGTATTATATGAACTTTTACATCTTTTCACTTGTTGACCTATCATTGACACTGGTTTTGAGATATACCATATGAATTTCTATTATTGATTAACTATATCACGATTGATAGCGCTGCACTGTTATTTTATTTATTATTAAAGCTGAGCATATGCATACAAATGCCAGTTATCCGTGTTTCCTTTCCTCAGTGCTGTCTATGTCTGAGGAAAGGAAAGCCGATAACTTCCTGTGGCAGGGGACATTTACACTGATAATCAGTGCATTGATCATCAGTGCCCTGATTATCAGTGCAGCCCCATCAGTGCAACATATCAGTGCCTATCGGTGATGCACATCAGTGCCCATCAGTGCTGTATATCAGTGCCCATCAATGCAGCCCCATAAGTGCAGCACATCAGCGCCCATCAGTACAACCTATCAGTGCCCATCAGCGCAGTCTATCAGTGTCCATTAGTGCAGTCTCATAAGCGCACATCAGTGAAGTAGAAAAATTACTTATTTGGAAAATGTTATAACAGAAACTAAGAAAAAGGGTTTGTTTTTTTTAAAAAATCTCAGTCTTTTTTTATTTGTTTAACAACAAATATAAACCCCAGTGGTGATTAAATACCACCAAAAGAAAGTTCTATCTGTCTCAAAAAATTATAAAAAATTAACTGATCAGTCTGAAAATGCTGGTCGCCTGGCTATTACAATGATTAAAATTGCTTGACTTGCACTTACCTAAAACAAGTATGCTCAACAACAATTTCTGATTATTCTCTGACTTTCCTGATCTGCATTTTAAGTGACTCAGTACTGAAGTTATTATGGAAGCCTAATAGCCAGGCAAATGGCATTTTTAGAAGGAGGTCAGCAACAGCAATCCACCTATTTCTCTTTCGGACAGGTTTACTTCAAAGATGTCCAGAAATGTATTACAGCGGTAATAGAAGTGCTATCCATACTTATAAAATGTAATTTTGTATCATTTATAATACATGTGACTTTATAATTTAATTATTATTTGAGTATTATAAAAGCATATCTTTGGTAATCTCACTTGACTAGCTGAAAAGCCCATAACTACCCTTGCAGCACTGTGCTGCCTGAACTGTAGACAGGTTTAATGCATCAGGGACCATGCCTCCTAATACTACCAATGTTGGAATTGCTTCTGTGAGACAAACAGCAAAAAAAAAAAGCCTATGTGCCCTCGGCTCTTTATACAGCCAGAGGCATCATCTCCCAGTGGACAAACAAAACTTGTACTGTTATATTATTGTCTATAGGGATGTTAGAAAACAGCATGGGGATTCTCAGTCATATGTAATTCTATATATTTAAAAAAGAAAGGATTACAGTTATTTCGGAAGTGTACTGAGTAGTTGCTGTCAGACTATGGATGCATTCCATTCCCCAGCAGAAACCACTATCTGCCAAGTGTACCATCTGGATAATATATCTGTCACATGGTGATCCAGTGTTTGTGTGTAACTGGGGAACCTGTGTACTGGGCCAAATCTTTCTATGTTACAGGTGAGAAGCTTTTGCACTGTCTCTCTATTTCCTTGACAAAAATAAGTATATTTTATTAAGAGCACCTGTCATCATGAGTTATGGACAATTTTGCCTTAGGCTAAGTGCACACTTGCTAAACATTCTAATGCTGACAGTAACACTAACCAATGCTTCAGTCCTTTTTTTTTAATGCATGTTAAAATACACACCCAGACCTCTAAGTGATTTTTTTCCACCTCACTGATATTTGATTAATGCTTGTCAAACAAGCCATAAATGCTACTGGCACATTTACGGAGTGTAACCATAGACTTAAAACGGACAAGTTTCAGCTCCTCCTAGGCTCGACATGTACCTTCATTTTTGCAACACAATGACACACATGCTACATGTTTTTCAAATGTGACCGGCTATTGTCTGCTGACTACATTATCCATTGCAGGAGGCTTTACTAGGCATCCAAGGAGCAGCAAAAATGCGCCTCAAATGCCGGTTTCTAATGCAAGTGTGAACATATTTTGTACTAGCATTTTTCATCTCTCATATTCCATTCCACTCAGGGTTGGCCTCAGAATAAGGCTGCTTAATTGGGGTGTAAGGATGGGGGGGGTTAAATCTGAGACCCCAGCTACTCACGGGAGATTCAGATTTTTAAAATACCTGTCTTACATTCTCACTGCTACACCCCCTCTCCTACCCTGCGCAGCATGGATGCTTTAGTATACCTTCCTTGCCAGCTGCCTGTAGCCAATGAAGGGAGGTTGGACCTGCATAACCCATAAGTGGCTTCAAACATGCTTGGACAAACATAGATCTAATGAAGTTAATGAAAAAAAAAATACAAAACATGTCGATAAACAAAAAAAAAAAAAACAGGAAGACTCAATATTAGTTGGTCTTTTTTCTGCCGTCTCGTTTGTATGTTTCTATTTGTGTCAACATATCAGTGCTTTACAGAATGCATACTGCATTAACTATTCAGATCTGGTATTCCCCAGCAGAACCTGAAATGTTTATATCCCAGCTACACTCAGAACCTATAAATCTTACAATATCATTATGATGGTCAATTAAAGTATTCCAAGAAAACCTGCAAAATCGCAATGGGAGACCTAGTGAGTAAAATGCAGACAGGATTCATTGTTGCAAGGCCTGAGTATAATACCTACTTGATAAAACCAAAGTTATCTAGTGAAGTGGTTGGTGTTTGGGGTGGCTGTCCTCAGGTGGGATGCTTGTATTCTAGCAAAAATATCTAGTTTGTACTTTAGAACATTGATATCTTGATCATCGAACTGTCACTTCATTTGGACCCATGACAACAGCAACATTTGTAAATAGACTAGTCTGCACGAACACAGTACTGGAAATTTCTGGGTATGTACATTGATGTAGCATGGCCAATAGCTGGAACCTCAGTTGGAGGAATTAAGAGGATATACTGTAACAGAATGTCAATGGACCAGAACTCTGTAGCTCTTTACCAGCTTGGTCACATCCCTTGAGTTTTACATGACTTTGTTATTTAGGAAAGAGATAATAAATAATGCCAAATATTTTAAAATCTGTGTTTGCAAATGGCTGACGCTGTACCTTTTACATTCTAATTGAATAGTTAGTCTGGCTGAAAAAAGACAAAAGTCCATTCAGTTCAACCATTAAAAAAAAAAAGGTATAATCCTACACCCAAAGTTGATCCAGAGGAAGGCAAAAAAAAAACCCCAGCATGATCCAATTTGCTTCTGCAGGGAAAAAAAACTCCTTCCTGATCCCTCGAGAGGCAATTGGATATTCCCTGGATCAACTTTACCTATAAATGTTAGTATCCAGTTATATTCTGTGTATCTAAGAAAGAATCCAGGCCTTTTTTAAAGCAATCCACTGAGCTGGCCAGAACCAGCTCTTGAGGGAGTCTATTCCACATTTACACAGCTCTCACTGTGAAGAAACCTTTCCGTGTTTGGAGATTAAATATCTTTTCCTCCAGACGTAAAGAGTGCCCCCTTGTCCTCTGAGATGTCCTTACCAATTGTATATGTATTATACCAGAATTACTCAACTAAAAACAACCGTCACAAATGAAAGAGCTGCTTTTTAAATGTATCATTTATGAGGCTTCTTTTGGTTTATTACTTAGTAA